GCATTTGAGATGGCTAGGTTGGCACAGGATAGAACGGAGTTTAGAGCTCTTGTACATAGGTTCGCTATGAGTTACAAGTGACTCGATGGCACATAACAACAACAAGATTCTTCTATAGTTCTGTTCCTATATAGCTTTGTGAAAGTGAACACTTTCATTGGCTGACACATCATTGCCAACATCCTTTCAATCATGTAAACCTGACTTCTAATAGTGAGTCCAAGAGTGAATCTCAACAACCATACAGACAACATGAGTACAAATAAGGAGAAAAACAGGGATAGCAACTTGCTCCAAAGTAGAATTATTTGAACATAACGTCAGCACATTGAATGAAGCACCGCTCTGTGCTGGACAGAAAATAAAACCAATAATGGATTGTAAAGTAAGCTGAAATGCAGTAGGTAAAAACTGTGTTTAGGAAACACTAAAATGCAACTTCATTTGGAAGAAAAAAAAAATAGTTACAAATGGTTAAAAAAATACCAGAACCAAAGTAATGGTTAAAGTAAACATTATTTTTCAGAATGAAAGTATTAAAAAAATGTCTAAGTTTGAAATCACTACCAGGAATTGATGCCTTTGAGCTATGGTGTTGGAGAAGAGTACTGAATATACCATGGGCTTCTAAGAAAACAAACAGGTTAATCCTAGAGAGGGTTTAACCACTGCTCCTCTGAGACAAGAATTCTGAAGCTACGTCTGACATACTTTGGAGATGTTGCAAGGAGGGACCAGTCCTTGGAGAAGAATGTCATGCTTGGGAGGGTGGAGGGACAGCATAGGAGAGGAAGACCCTCTCTGAGGTGGATTGATTCAGTGACTGGGGTAATGGGGGTAGGTTTGTCAGAGTGAGATTGGCATAGGATAGAACAGGGTTTAGTGCTGTTGTACATAGAGTCGCTATGAGTTTACAGGCTATTCGACAGCATATAACAACCACCACCACAAGGACCAAAGCAATGGTTAAAATATTCTGTGTCCAGAGCAAAACTACCAAAAAATAAGCCCATGTTTGAATAGTCAGCTAGAAGAGAACGTTGTCTTTTTCTGGTATAATCCAGATGTCAATCACCATTTAGAACGCCCAAGGCTGTTCTTGAGCAAAAAAGGATTAAATGCAATTTATTATTCATTGTTAACTTTAACACAGATAAAAATTCTACTTGGTTGTAATTATGAAAACAAAAAGTATAAAAATCAGAAGAAATTATTCCTTGGTGTTCTTTAACAATAAGTAAGAAGAAATGTAATAGCCACATATTTTTAGTAGCGGTAGAACTAATTAAAAATTAGAAAATATTAAAAATTGTACTTACTACAAGATTGTATTCTTGAAATTCCATTTCCAGCTCCATGCAAACTGGAGTCGAAACTCTGACTGTTCCGCACAGTGACTGGGGAACTAACGCTGTTACTGACAGTAGCTGTAGTTGGCATCCGGGCTAGATTAGGCATACTTCTTCGGAGTTTATCTGGAAAAACATTTTATAAAGTTTAAAAATTAAAAACTCAGCACATGTTCTGCCAGTTAAGAAATTAAAACATTAGTCTTTTTAAAAAAAGAAATAAATCCAAATTTACTGTATCATCTCACCCCAGAAAGAATAGCAAAATTTAGCAAAACAGCAAATATCAAATGCTAGCAGGGTTACGGAGAAACTGAAACCCTTATTCACTGTTGGTGGGAGTGTAAAATGGTGCAGCCACTATGGAAGGCTGTATGGCCCTTCTCAAAAAGTTGCAAATAGAAATACCATTTGACCCAGCAATTCCACTACTGGGAATAAACCTTAAAGAAACCATAACTGCCACCCAAGCAGATATATGCACACCCATGTTTATTGCAACTGTGTTCACAATAGCATAGAGCTAGAAACAACCCAAGTACCCATCAACAAACGAATGGATAGAGAAGCTCTGGTATATTCACATAATGGAATACTATGCAGCATTGAAAACCAAGGAATTCATGAAATATTATACAAAATGGGTGACTCTGGAGGACTTTATGCTGAGTGAAGTATCTCAGTCACAAAAGGACAAATATTGCATCGGGCCACTGTTGTAAAAAGGGACTCACATCGGGATTGAGGAAAGACTGAGAAAGAGGGGATAAATAATGTATACTGCATTGAACTTGATAAGGGAGAGAACTGTTTAAAAGGGATATATGATTAGGTATTATTGTCATGACAGGAGTCCAGAATGAAGGCTGCATCGTGGAGTGGACTTGGGAGAGGGATTGTATACCAAAGAAGGATTTTTTTCTTTTACTTTTCAAAGAGAAGAGAGAACTGGGGGGAGGGGAGGTGGGCAGGGAGAAAAGTGCAACAACAAATGAATGGAAACCCTAAGTATCTATAAACTTCCATTAAAATTAATTTAAAAAGGAAAGACATCAGATTGTTATTTTGCTCAGTAATGTAAGAGTTATGTGCTTTCTAAACTATAACAAGCTAACACAGAACCAGTTGCTCTTTTTTCCCCAAGTTCAGAACAGTCCTACAATAATGGACTAACTTTTGTTAACACAAAGTAAATGTTCTTCTAACACAAATACGGATAAAGGTTATCAACTAGCTACTTGTTTTAACTCAGTTAAGTGGATAAGTCTGTGTTAAAATGAGGTTATAAAAAACATGACAATCATTTAATTTTGCAAAAAATCAGAAATAAAGATAATGCTAATAAAGAAGGCTCTAGAATTAAATTTACTATGTCATTTTGTAAAAAATGGTGCTGGCAAAATTGGAAAAATATCTGCAGAAGACTCAAGCAAGAGCCACACCTCACTCCTTATACAAAAACCAACTCAAGGTGGATCATGGATCTAGGACTAAAACCAAGGACTATAAACTTCATTAAAGAAAAGCTTGGAAGAATTCTAGTAGTCCTAGTCCAGAACATAAACAGTCCCCCAAGTATCC